ACTTTATTCTTAAGCATTTAAAATTAAACAATTAAAATTAAGAGTTTTTGTGATAAAAAAATATTTTAATGATAAAAGCATAAATATGTAATCGACATAGTTAGGAAGATACCTAAATTGAAGAAGGTTAAACCTCAGCTTCGTTTAATGGAATAGACCCAGAAGGAGAAGCATCAACCCATTACTGAGCAAGACCAAAGGAAGGAGAAGAGAGGAAATGAAAGGCAGGGTGGCGCGTGGGTGGACTTGCTTTGCGGTCTGGCCATACTAAACTGAAACCCAGATTTTGCGATGTTAAGGTCGGGGCCGGCCATCAGGGTTCTCTTCCTTGCCGTCCTTCCCATGCTTTCTTCAGCTCAGATTTTCCATACTGAATGGAAACGGATCATGAAAACCATGTAAAAATTTTCATGAAGCCAGAGATTTCTTTCGCTAAATTTTTTTTTTTTGTAAAAAATATTAGATTTTTTTATTCTAATCTTTATTTCGTTTTGGCTACAATCTTTTACCATCCATCGACATGGCATCCCGAGTATTGCCATGTGTTCACCGTTATTTCCACGTCAGCTTTTCCTTAATCAATTCCGTTTAGGAACTACCGTTATCATATAATTAGGACTGAAATTTAAAAACACAATAATATTTAGGACTAAAAATTTAATTGGCCCTATGCCATAATGTTATACTACTGTACATTGCATAATCTTTTTGATACATTTGATCATAAATGTCATATTATCATAATTTTTTTCCCAAGTTTCCAACATAAACACGTGCACAAGGAATAATTGAAATTGTTAAAGTGTAGACAAAAACCCATGGGGACACCATGTTGTTACATCCCAAGCTGTGATTGCATATACAAAACATAAATTATTGAACCAAAACATGAGGCCAAATGCATAGCAATAATTCTCAGTCTCACAAAATTTTCTGTATAAAAAATTTTTAAACTTATGATAGAATGATCTCGACTCAAATGTTAACTTATGATTTCAGTTTGTTGCATTTATTTAAGTTAATTATACACCAAAAATCATTCACCAAATGCCCTATCCAACCAAGTTCGACACAAAGATCAAGTTGTTAATTTTACTTAAATTTTTAACATCATTGTCCCTTTATTTTAATAATTGTACTTCTTTTAAGCGATAATTTCACAAGCCTTGAATTTTCAGGCAATAATAATAAAAATCTATCCAAAAATTATTCCTAATTTTTCTTTACCGCCACTTCTTCAAAACTCTATTGATATGTACATTTTTTTAATGTAAATTTTGTTATATGTATATATATAATGGTTTTGAAATATATTTTATTAGATCAAATCTTTAACTTTATAAGTAGTCGATGATCTCATTTCGAGTAAATTTTATTTATAGGAAACAAGTGGAGAAAAGGGTATTTTATATTATGTAATGTGTGTGCGTGTGTGTATATATGTATATATATAAATGTGTAATGTTTTTATTTAATGAATTCTTGTCATGGGGTGAGAAAAATGTGATCAATAATACTGCTTTTATTGGGGAAAAAAGTGTAAAATATTGTTAAAAACGTGACTTGAAGACAAAAAGAGGAAAAAATTGTGATTCGAAACATAATGTCATGTACAAATATATGGTGAAGACGCATTATGGATCACATAATATATTCCCTTTTATTATTCTATGCTGAACAAATAATAAAGGGCACAAAACAATTACTCAAAAATTAAGTAATGATCAGGTCAAAGTATATGGAATTATAGCATGAATTTATTCTTGGTGAGTACTATTTTACTCTGATAATCGAATACGAAAATTTCAAATTAAAATGTAAATGTGAGTGTATCCCATTAAATTATATCAAAATATACATTGAACATGTTTTCATAATCACCATGTGAAACTAATAATAGCATGGAAGGAACGAAAGTATAGTCAGAAAAGGGAGGAAAAAGAAAACAAATGGTTTAGCTCATATTTCAAATATTACAGCCAGCTTTGACAACAAACATAGCTTTCATGATTATTGCAATTTGATTGGAAAATTTCTCCATTTTGGGTTGCAGGAGCTAGCTCCGATGGCTAAATCATGTCAACATCTCATATTGTGTATTGAGATTAATCCTGTTGTCGCTTAGCTTCGAATGAACAAAGTCTTTTGTCACAATCTCTTGTCTGTGAGATTTTAGCCCCGACAAGAAGCTGTTTTTCTTTTTTTAGGGTCCTCAAGAAATTCCATTCCAATTAAGGCATATTTACTTTTTTTTTTTGTTTCCCACAAGTAAATGTAAATTTAAATTTTGCTTAAATTTTGATGAATTCCTTTGCAAATGTATGATTTATTATGTTTGGAATCTAAGGCGTAATTCCTATCCTTTTATTGTTAAAATTGAAAGGGCAAAGGAACTTTCTTGGAAATTCTAAGATCAAGATAGTATAATAACAATGACAACTACGCAAAAGGATCACTTTTTTTCAATTCTAAGGTTTGAAATTTAAACCCATCATTTCAAATTTGATCAATTTAAAAATGAATTTTGCAAAATGAATAAATTAAGTTGTAACTTGTTGTACTATACTTTCTCTTATGCACACGTAATGCACATGCACACACACATATTTAATTTTTTAAATAATTCTTAAATTAAGTTGGTAGGTAATTATCAATAAAGGCATTTTAAAACAGAAATATTGATTCCAATTCTTTATCAAAATACAAAATAAAAAGAATTAATGAATTCTATAATTTGAGATATAGTGGGTTACATTTGAGGATTTCTATGAATATATATGAATTCTGCTTAGAGTTAATGCTTCCAAATTTAAATGAAAAACAAAGCATTTCATTCAATTCCAAACACATGCCCTTTTAAAGCTGCTGTGTTTGATCATATTAGTACTAATTTCTCTTGCCAAGCAAAGCAAGTCAAGTTTATTTTTTCAGACAACAACCTGAAAGTGCGGTTGAATGTGCTGAGAGAGATGAGGGCATTGATCATGCGTCTAAATATAAAACAAACAAAGTACATGCGATCTAATATGTGTTCTTAAGACTTCTGTACTCTAAAGTTAATAAAATAATCTGGTCTAAGCTTCTACTTTGATCAGAAAAGGACTTTATTAACAGTTAAACAAATCAGGCTTTTCTTGACTAAGGCTTTTCTTCATGTGCACGGGGCATGATATTATGGATTCAGTCTGTACTTTCAATTGCGGGTTTCAGACAAAGCTGAACTGTGCTAACTGGCTTTTCTCTGATTCATATTCATAACATCCAACTTTCAAACCACCAAAATCCCTGTAATGTTGCAAGGCATGTGCTAAGAAGAGATTTAATATTAATGGGTAGTATTAAGCCTGGGTTTTGATAAGTAAAGGTCTATATTGCTTATAATTTGCATGCAATTAAATAATGCTAATTGGGGGGGGGGGGGGGGCGGTGTGTTCGGATAAACTTGCATATCTGTTGCATAATTTAATGGAGTTTAAAAAGGCTACTGATCTCAGGCCTCGTCGAAAAATAGTTTGTACCTTGCTAAAACAAAGTATTTTGCCGAGTATAATCGGAAAACCCTAGCTAGGATTATAGGTTTTCCAGGAATCTTTAGGGTTTCTATAGCGGTTTACTACACATCTTTTCAAGTTCTTTTTCTAATATATAATTTAAACAATCCCTACAGTAGGCTATCGACCAAACTTTTCTTTCTGTCAAATTGAAGCAGCAGCATCATATGGACTAATGGATACGAATATGCACCCTGCTATGTCAACTCAAAATTCCCCCCTTTCAGAATTAATCAGAGAGTGGAAAGATGAATCTTTCTTGTGTAAGCAAAAACAGTGCTTCAACTTTCAAAGGGCTGGCCTGTTTTTCTATTTCCACCCCCACTGGCCTGCTCCACACAAATTCAGCAGGATGGTATAGTAGTAGTATATACTAGGAGAGAAGCAAATTTTTCTGCTTTTTCCAACTCCCATGCATAAACCTGGAATTGATTATACATGTGAAAATATGTATAAAATGACAAAAAAGTATGTGTATATGAACAAGGGCTGTAAGAATACAGCAATTCTAGGTTGTGCGTTAAAATAGAATACTAGTATACTAATAAAAAAATCTAGGGCATATTGCAAAGCAGGGAAGTGATGGGCCTTCGTAAATCATAATGCAAGGGATTGGTGGGGAGCCTGAGAGAGGGTTCTACAGGGGGAAAAAAATATAAACAAGAAAAGGAAAAAAGAAAAGAATATGAATACGTCTCTCCTTTTAATTAGTTTATATTATTATTTAAAAGAAATTATACTGCTTGTTTGAAGTATGCCCTTTCTTTATTAGCTTATATAAAGCTATAAGCCCATGTCCTTCCACTCACAGATCCATAAGGTGCTTTGGCTGAGTTTGCTAGCCAGTGATAATAGAAAACTAAGCAATGATCTTTCTCTTCTCTTCTCTAAAGTCTCCATCGTTTCTGTTTGACCCTCCTTTGTGAGATCTTCCCTTTTGAACAGTCGCTATCTTCACCCCCTCCTCACTCTTTATTTCTCTCTCTCTCTCTCTCTCTCGTTTGTTAGAGCAGTTTCCACTTCCGTTCACTTTTGCCCATGATCCATTTCGACCTGTCACAGTGGAGAAATTTCTCTGTCCAATTGCTTCTGCTTGAGGGGCTGACTTCTTTTCTTCTGTTGGGGTTCTTTAGGGTTACATGGGACATGGGTCATTTTTATTCATTTATAAATTAATGTGAAAGTGGAACCACAGATCTCTGTACCAAAAACCTTGCAATTTAAGTGTTACTATGTGTTTTACTGATTTATGCTTTTTATTTATTTTATTTTATTGATGATCTAATAGGTACGAGAGCTTTCTTCAGTCCACTCATGGGCGGCGATGGGATTTAATTAGCTGCCGACTCATTCATCCAAATACTGAGTTAAAAAGATCAACAAGGATACCCAGTAAATGAGTGAATGATGCGGGAGACAAATTGAATCCTAAACTTCCTGTGCTTGGACTGAAGGGAGCTCCCTCAGCTGTTATTTTATCCACTTGTAACTCTTTTTAGTTTCTTAGATCTTCTTTTGTCTTGTTCATATCACAATTTCATGTACTTTACTCAAGGTTTTTCATATCTTTTTATGACAGCCATGCTTTTATATATATTTATATATCACAATTCTAAGCAGTACTTTAGTGCTGAGGTAATGTTGGAATGATGATCTTTAACTTATTCGTTTATTCTTTTTCGTGGACATATATCTAGATTATCTCAACTTCTTAATGGCGGTGGGTTATCTTTGTTTGGCTTCAACGAATCTAAAGAAATACGCCACCAGCTTCCTGACTAGGGCTAAGGTTTCGGGTATTTCATTTTTACCTAAGAAAATCCCTTAATGAGGGGTAGCTTAAAACTAAAACTAAATTTTGAGCAAAAAGGCATTACTGGTTCTCCAAATTGTAATGGCTGGGCCTAATTTCTGATTTTGCTTCTTGAATGAGCAGCTCGAAAACCTTGGAGACCAGAAGTTTTAGGGTTTCTGTCAAGCTGCTGTTGCAGTTTCTTGTTAAAAGCTCCCTAAAAAGGCAACGCATGGGAGGAGAAGCTCGCAAAGCTCACGCTCTACGACAAAACCTTCTTGGGTCTTGCTATCTTACTGCAACAAGTTCCTAGACATGTCTCCCGACATTGGAATTACCAAAATATCCCCTTCCAGTCGTTTAAAAAAGTCGTTGGACCAAGATTTGTAGGAATGTGAAACACTAATCTTTGTTCTAATCCTGTGTCTTTGGGTGATTTTTCTCTTTTCAAGTTTGGATGCGAAGGTAAAACGCAGTACCTTTTCTGTATGTCCACTATCTAGTTCTTTCCTGTATAAACATTGATAAGCAAAACTCATATAATTATTTAATTGCAATAAATAGGACTTTGAAAAAGTAATAAATGAATTAGCATACATCTGCCAGAACCTTCTGCTGTTACGTATGGGAAGTTGCAACAGGCAGATTCCAGATGACTTCTGACAGTATTGAGCAATCTTCATCATGTCAACCATTCATGGTTACTTGTATGCCCATGTAAAAAACCTTTGATAAAGGATACTTAGGCTTTAATTAGCTTGTGTGTACTAGTTGATGGATGGATTGGAAGGATAATGGCGTACGCATGTCATCAGTGCAGAATGAATGGCAATGAGTTGAAGGTAAAGAGGGAAAGAGAGAGCGTTGAATTTGGTTTAGTATATGCCAGGAAGCTTTGGATGCCAACATGAGTTAACATGTTTATATTTAGTATTATCACAATAGTACCCCTTTATTTGGAATAAGAGATATTCAAATTAAGATCAAAATCTAATTGTCTTTAGACATACGTAATGTGTACTCTTCGATATTCTCTTATTTAGAAAATGGGGACTTTTGGAAAAGGAAAGAAATGGCAACCAGCTAGGTCATTCCCGAAGCTAATAGGTCGAAGCGTATATATTTTTAAGCTGACCTTCCATGAAACCCTATTTTAAGCCGAAAAAGAAAGAGAGAATGGTGTGTGTATATATATATAGGTGGAAGTGGGGTTCATTCTTTGTTATTGGGTTCTTTTTCCCTCTTGTGCTTCCCTCCCAAGGACCAGTGAATGCCAAGTGCCTCACTCTGCCGATTTGGCTCTCTCCTTTCCCCAAACGAATCTCTGAAGACAAGAGAAACAATTCCCCCACCCCCACCAGAGATGTTTGATGTATCTCTAGCTCATTCATTTTATATACTATTACTCTTCTTCTTCTTCCTCCCTGTTTTACCTCTGTAAGCTTTATCAACACAATGGCAAATATGGATACGAGCCTTTTTCTGAGTCCCTGTCTGCTTTTGTAGAAACCGACGGCTGTTTCTCATGCCATGATTGATCATTGCACCATCTTTAACAAACACAGGTGCCATAGTTTTTTGTCATTATTGTCCCATAATTACAATCTGGTGGGCATGAGAAATTTCCACGTGCCAGTCCCATAGTGGTCCCCGAGATTGATGATTCTGAAAAAAAAATTTTGATGCTCAAAGTTGGGATTTGATGATAAGGAGTTGTTTTGTATTTTAGTAAGTAAGATCTAAGCATTGTAAAGTTTGATCTTTCCTTTATTCTCTGGGGCCTGGATGTTCCAACCCATTTGGAAAAAGGTTTCATTGTAGATGAACTGGTTTAATTTCTTAATCAAATTCCCTTGTCCATCATCATCTTTCTTAGGGATATGTTGCAAAAATTTTTGACTTTCTTTCCATTGGGAATTGGAATGATATGAACTACTCACTAATGAAGCCAAGAAAATGGAAGTGAATATATATAGTATCCTCATGCTGGCTTACAGGCATGATGTGACAATCACTTCATTTATCTATGGACTTTAGGACTTAGGAAATGAAAAAGGGAAAAGGATAACATAAGAGATCAAACGTCCTTCTTCTAATTGTTAGGTACATGAAATTAGAAAGATAATCATCATCTGAAACTTTACCATTTAAAGTTTCTCTTTAATTTTCTTGCCGCTGTCGTTATATCATGAGTTACCCATTACCCACATCATTTGAAGGCAAATTCAGTTAATGTCTTCAAGCTAGAATGGACCTTTGATGACAAGTATTGCTGGAGTATATCCTCAAATTCTTAGGTTAGTTTAGCATCTATGAGAGAAGCCACCCTTTAATCTATGCCATATAGAACCATATTTTGCATAGTCGAGTTCTCTGCATCAGTTCATATATACCAGCAAACTGAATTTCCCTATATATACTTCTAAACCTTGTTCTTGAACCAAAACCAGAACATTTGCAGTACTCCAGGGTTTTTCTTTTATCATTATAGTCAAGCTGTACATATTAGAGCTTCAAGAAGTTTTACCATATTATGACTACTTGCTAATAAAGCTTCCCTTTATGAACATGAGCAGATATATAAGAACTTTCAAAAGTTTTCATTGTTTTCTTTTGATAACTTTAGGGTCAGTAAGATTATTGGAAGACATCAAGTTGCTCCTAAAATTTTCACTTTATATAGAAAAAAAAAACATAGGATATCCAATGCTTTTTCTTATATCGTTCATCTTTTCTGACCCACCTTCAATATTTTCCAAGTACCATTTTGATTATATTAACATGCAAAAGTTTTAACTAAGATCTGGAAAGATTATCTTGCTTCTCTAACTGTGCAGCTTCAATGAGAAAACCATGATCTAGAGACGATCTTTCCTTTTTAACGTTTTCTTTGAGGTACAATGGCATGGCCAGAAGAGGGGAAATGAATTGACTGAATCATTTTGATCGTCACATTCTGTTGATTGAACAAACCTCTCCAAAGGCAAGGAAAACCTGGAAGAAGCTCTGTTTTTTTTTTTTTCTAAGCATTATTGACATTTGTTTCTTAAGAGAGCTTTTTCCAGTTGATAGTTACCCTACCCATAAATCAAATATGTAGATGACTCATATTTTGACATGGGACTCTTTTTTTTTTTGTTCTACTTGAGAAAAGGGGCACGACATTTCCAAGTGGATTGCTGTGTTGGACAGGCATGTACCTAGGTGCACATAAGACGTGACATTCAAACAGGAATAATGGAGAAAACAATTAAAAAGGGGACTGAGGTCCAATTTGAACCATTTAATTTCATGTACTACGTGTACGTAATAACTGATGCAGTGGTCCAGAAACTTGATATTTGCAAATTGCAACTGCCATGGTCATGCGGAATAATATTTGCCTTGCCAGCAGAGCCAGCCCCTCCCTACACCACTCCAATTCCCATCTCACAGCACGCCATTCTTTTATGATGTGTACGCATTCCTTCCAATCAATCACAACCATCAGAACCATACAGTAACCAGATTAAATCTTGAAATATCATTCAAATCCAACCAGCATCTGCCCACCAAGGAGGCCAGCCCAAAAAAGGAAAAGTCCAACAATGTCATTTTCAAGGTCATGTCATTGGAAAGTGTAAATGGAACATTGGAGCATTACCATAGTCTGCTCGGTGGAAAAGGATAAGATACAACGTTGTTGTAAATTACTTCAACCACAGGGTTAGGGAATCAAGCATGGAAGGGAAAGTGTTGGAGATGTTTGAAGTTGGGCCCTGTGAAGATGACTACCGGCTGGGTTTTCTCATAGGTCAGAGGTTCTGTAGTCAGATAAGAAGCAGGTTGGCTGGAGACCTCATTCTTCAAAACCAGCTCCTTCCTTTTGCTCGAACAACACAGGCAAAACCACTGATCAAAGCACTCTCAGAAACTAACCAGAAGAAGTTCCCAAGATATTGGGCTGAACTTTTAGGGACTGCAGAAGGAAGTGGTGTGCCTGTTCTTGATGTAGTGCTCACAAACCTTTAATTTCCATCATATATCTCTATTGAATCAGTCACATTCTAGTTCTTCCCGTGCAGATAATACTTATCAACTTCAGGAAGGAGATACTTCCATTCATTTCAAATACAGCAATGAATTCAAATGGTGATACTACAGATGACTGTTCTGATATTCTGGTTGTTAGCGATTTGATAGCCCTTGCAGCTCATAACGAGGATGCAAATGTCTCTCTAGTTGGCCACACGTATGCTTTTAGTTTCCTGCATCCTGCTCTGATTCTAGACAGTGCAATCTGTATGATAAATAGATTCTCGTAAAATGTAACCATGTCTATGCTGGATTTGCAGCTATTTGATCAAGGGAAAACTGTCAAATGGATTATCTTTCATAGCTTACACATATGCAGGAGAGCTTCCAAGCTGTGCTTTTGGATTTAACAGTCATGGAATGGTAAAATTTCTTTTGTGCATCATAAATCTGTCCTGGACCATCTTATAATAAAAGGAGCGAGGTAAAACACACGTCCCCAATATGAACCTAACCAGATGTAAGTCTTTGGCCATATCAAAACATTAATATAATAAAAGATAGGAAAAGAAAAGAATAGCATGATTGTTGCTTCAATTTTACTAGACGTCTTCTAGAGGAGTATTATTTTAAACGAAAGCTAATATTTCCTTCATACATACCTTAGGCATTCACACTGAATTCCGTACCCCCAACTGAAGATGAGATTGTACCAGCTGGCATTGGAAGGAACTTTGTGTCTAGAGACCTCCTCGAAGCAACTAGCATTGCAGATGCATTAGCAGTAAGACCCTTAAATTTTCTCCTCATATCTTATGAAATTTAAGACCAGCTTGATCATTGGTACTGATATGGTTTAACCTCAGAAAATACGTTCATCAGAAGTTTCTGTGGGACACTGTTACAATTTAATTGATATACAGACGCGTATGATCTTGAATGTTGAAACCGCATCAAGATCTCGAGTTTCAGTTCATGAGGTTGGAGCAACACCATTTTTCCATGCAAACATGTATCTCCATCTTCAGGCTCAGCAGGTAAACAATATATCACATAAGAGAAGGAACCTTCATCAGGGCAAAAGCTGGTTTTACCCTTTATAGCTAGATCTATCTGTGGCTGCTGTGTTGAATCTCAAAATGCATTTTTAACCAACTGACTTTCAAGTAATAGCAGTTCAAAAGTTTCTATATGACAAACTCAGATACATTTATCACATCTTATTATTTAGCACAGAACTCTAAATCAGTTATATAGCTTAATTCAACTACATTGAAACTGAAAACGATGTTTTGCAATAAAGGTACATGATGAAAACTCAATGAGCAGGCAAAGAAGAGCAGCTCTTCTACCACTAGGATCAAAGACCAATTTCCTGTCTATTCTAGGAGATACAGAAGACACAAAGTACCCCATCTACATGACAGGTATAAATTGAAAGATGGAAATGTAGAACTGCTTTCTCTTCAATGGTTACTAACTCACGCTATTGGCATTTTTTTCAGGTCCAACTCTTTACACATTATGCACAGCTGTCATTGATTTGGATGAAAAAACACTTACAATAGTTGAAGGGAATCCGAAGAAAGGAAAAGTTTCTCATGTCTTTTCTATGAATTCCAAAGACTTAAACCGTGATTTGGTCAACTGCGCTGAAGTGACCCGTCTCTAGAGCATTTTATGCAGGTTCATAGAGGCCAATCATGTGACCATCAATGCATCGCACGGCAGCAACCTGATAACAATGAACAAATTTGAGTTGCGACTCCAGTCCATCATCAAGCTAAGCATAAGAATAACTAAGTGAGGGGTGAAGAAATGGAGGCAATACCTTTCCATGGATTTCATATTTGATGGAACCATCTAGTTCAGCTCCTAATGCCATTAATTTTGTTACTGTACTGTTAATGTCGTTCACTGTGAATGATAGAAGTGAAGAATATCCATTCTGCTTCAGATTATCACTGTCAAAAAAACTGGGTTAGAATTATCCAGTTTCCCTCTCTTTCTTCCTTGGATAATTGAATGTTCAATAAAGCAACGTAAATCTGGGACTATCCACAGTCTTATTTATTTTGGTTATTTGTCACTAAGTCCAAAATCATCAAGAAATTTATCAAAACTTCCATGTCAGAATAAAATGAAATGTAAAAGTAGTACCTGGGAGATTGCATAAGGGCAAGCTTGAGAGGACCGGATTGGAGCTCTGCCCACCGAAGAGTGCAGATATTTACAGAGAAGTCAAGCCCTTGTGAGTAGAACTTAGCCGCCTTCGGAACGTCCTTGTGGAGTTGGAGTATCCACCTGAACGACGCCGCCGCCATCTCCCTTCTTCCTGTCACTGCCTCATTCTCCGCGCTTATGCAAGCAATTTGGTTGGCCGTTGGTTGTCGCCTTCCAAACGACGTCGTTGGCTATTCATGCCAACCTATACATCGAATGGGCCCTTCTCTGTCTATTCCATTTTGGGTTTCAAAGACATATCAGGCCCAAACCCCACAAAAGAGAAAAGGGCCGATCCATTGGTATATAATCGGATTAGATAGCTACGAGTATCCAGTATACGTAAAATGTCGTCCTACTCCGTCAGGATCTAAGGTCTGTTTTATAACACACTGAAAACTTCCAATGTTAGAAGGTAGGAGATATATCTGGAATGATCGCTTGAGAGATATAGAAACTAGAAAGGCTTAATCACTCAAAATTGTAATGGACCCAAGATTCATCTGATTCGTATCTATGTTGTGATATTACACTAATATACAAACATAAAAAAAAAAAAATTCATCCAGAATTATGACATAGCAACATTCAGATTAATGTGCATCGTGGCCAGTATGGCAGTATTCACATAACATAATGCCGGCCTGCAACAGGACGCAGAAGCAGTTAATCCTGTGAGCTTTTCCGCGGATTGTTCACGAAAAAGTCTGTGAGCTATGACTTCCCCTTGAATATTTTTAAACGAGAGCGTTGCCCTTTCGATCTTGCTTCAAGAAGCTTGGCCTTCAGTGTGTTTTCCTTTGTTCCTGGAGGTAGCTTGGTGGACGACTGGGATACATCTATGTCGGGGGATGTGAATTTCGTCATCCATTGTCGCACTGGACTAGGCTGGTTCCTTCGTGCAGGAAAACTACAAGAAGCCTCCCCACAGTCGTTTTCAGGATTTATATTCCCACCTTCTGACAATGCTATATGATTTCGTATCAAGTTATCCAGTACATAATTAGAGCTCAGTCCATGGATCTCATCAAGCTTGTTCTTTCTTCCATCGCTGCCATAATGGGTAGCTTCATCATTTTCAAATTTTTGTGACACCGTTATTTCAGTGGTGTTCTCTACACCAGTATTTTCCTGTTCCCAATCTGCCAACTGGGGCTTTTTATTTCCATTACAGATGGCTCTTGCCATCTTTTCTTCAAACTTAACTTGTAAGCTGGATGGATGCCGACTTTTACTTTTCTCATGGGATGAAGGTTTTTTCTCTGCATGATTTGATTTCATTATTACCTCGACGTCACCATCTACAGCTTCGTCTTCATTTGATTTCAAGTCAACACTGCTTGGTTTATTCAGCTCAAAACAATTTGAATCACTGCCAGCAGAATCTTCCCCATCACAAACATCTTTAGGTGCACTCACAGCCTCATTTAAAGGGACAGATTCAAGTGATTTCCTGCGATCCTTTCGTGACAAATAATCAGTACGCTTTGAAACTGAAGTACCAACCCGTTGAGCTTGAAGGAAGGTCTCTATTTCCAAGCCTAATTTGTCTACTATTGAATTCTGTTCAACAAAACCAGACTGAGCTTCTTCCAGCTTCATCTGCATCCGCTCATCAAGCCATGATTCAGATATATGAAGAATCAAACGATCATGGTCGGCCACTCCTGCCCAATCTTCATCAGATTTCTGTCTCAGAGAATGCACCTCCTGTTCATAGCTTTTTATTCCCCTAGCAAACTCATCACAAAGATCTTCCAAGAGCTTCCTGGATTTCCTTTCTCTTTCAAGTTCTTTCAAGGCATTAGAAAGAGAAGCTTTTGCCTCAGACACTTCCCGAGCTAACTTCCTGTGTAGACTCTCCGATCGTTTTCTTAACTTTCTCTCATCTTCTAGTTCATCCCTCACAGACTGTACAGCAGCATGGATCCGGTCTTGCTCCTTACTCTTCCTAACTAGTTTGTCTTCAGCAATCTGCTTCATCAAATCATCAATTTCATGTCTATCTGCTTGCTGATCTCGAAGCAACTCCTTGATCCTAACACGGGAATGATCTAGTTCCATCTTCAACGCCTTTATCAATGAGATATTAGATGCATGTTGCTCTTCTAGGCTCCAAATTCGATTTAGTACTTTTAGCAGTTCTGTAGATGTTTTGAGATTATAATGCGACTCACCAACCCTCCCCCTAAAATCTAAGGAACTGCTAGGCGTGACTGCAGGATTATAAGGGGCCACCTGAAAACGGAGGAAGGGCATGTAAAAACGCTATGGGATGGGATGTAAAACTACATGGGAAAGACCTACGGAGCGAACCGCACAGCAATGATTTCCAAGGAATTCTTACAGAAAATTGATGTGAACAGACATAACACCATAAACATCAGTGTGGAAGTTGATGATGGTCCAAATTTTTTGTGATTGTTCTCACCGTAAATAACACCCTAGTAAGTGAATTCTGAAAATGCCATTTATATAGCATTCAAAGCTACAAACATGCTGTATATTTCTATTACTGTTATAAAAAATCAGGTATACGTAAACAAGTAATTAAGACGCTGTGAACGCCCAATTATGCTATCTATCAACTTAGAACCTTACTGAATACTACAGAGTTAGATTTGAGGCAGAGACTAAAGAGACAGTAGTCAGACTATAGCCAATGTGAACTGACTTGGTGGCAAGACTCAAGTTTGTTTGCATATACAGGACTCACAACAATTATTCTTTCTTTACTCTTATTCAAGCAGCTTCAGTGAAAGTATCAATTACAGAAAGAAAGAACATCACCTTTCCTATTCAGTATTTATTCTACCTGTAGTACCTTTTTCAGTAGGAACATAAGAAAATTTACCTCCATTGAACTGCCATAACTTGCAGGAGATACAGGCTGTAAGGCATGATTATTTTTTTCAATCGATCGATGATGTTTCATCAGTGTTTGAGCAATATGCCTCCTCAAACTGCTTGCACTCTCTGGCTGATATAAGAAATAAAACACAAAAGTTAGTACCAGAAGGTATTGCTTCCACCTTGGATAACTCTAGAAGTCGCTGAAGACCTTGAGTTCAAGCCACCAAAAACCGATGAAATCAACTAATACTTTGTTGGGTCATCTTTTCATAATAAGTATCAATTAAATGGTTCTCAGTCCTCACTATAAAGCAATGTCTAACAAATTTACACTACACTTGACCATCAATCCATCATAGACAAATGATAAGTTAAGGGTCAACAGTAAAGATTCAAGAAATAATCAACACTCTTCAGAAAATTCAACACTTAAGGCTAATTACAATATTATATTGAAAGATTAAGGCAACCAGTGCCCTCTGGTTCCCCATAACAGAGTTATGAAGAACCACCCAACTACCAAATAACTGCTTAACCAAACACCACCAGATTTTATAATATTAATCCTGAATTGAATGCTATACGTTTTTTTTTTTTGGTTAAAATAATAATCAGTTAGTAGACCAAACAATCAATGGCGTTGGTAACTACAACAGATAAAGATTGCAGGCACAGGGACGATGTTTCTTAGATATTATTAGGAACTACATTGTAAGCTAGATCAATGAGAACCACAAAACCAAAAACAGAGTTAACTTAGAGTAACTCTCCATAAGGAAAAAACAAATTCATAATCGAGGAAATCCTTTCTCGTCCAGAAAAACCATCCCCGTATTTCATGCTTGCTCATATGATTATACAATTCTTGACAAGAAAAGGCTCCATTCGGTGTTGAACTGGTCAAAAACGCTTGACAAAGAGCAAATTTTCCAGCAGACGTGAATAAAATAAGAAACAATAGGACATTCAAAACAAATAATTTAACCTAACAAACTCTATAAACCAAAAAACATGAAAAGTTAGGAGGGCATAACCAAACAACCAAGACGGATAGCATGAAGACAAAAAGAGTAGTCCTATCAACATAAACCGTAAACATCACCAATCTACCTGCATATCTCTCAGCCCAAATAACAAAAACATAAGAACAAACCATGTAGCCTAGGACAAACAAGTATCATCATTTTGCCACACCCAAAATTGCAAATCAATCACCATCCACCCCACCAACAAATAGATCAAAATACCCCAAAGGAGAAACTTTTAGAAGAAAAATAACATACAAATACACATACACTACTTGTAGAAGTAAGGTATGGAACAAGGAAATACCTGGTCAGGATCAGAGCTGGGGCAAGGATCAGGCAAGAAATGAGAAAAGTCAATTCCTTTGTCCTTGAAAAGATTGGCGTGGTGGCGTTGGTGGTAACGGCCATTAGTGTTGTTAACACCTCTATGCATTTTAGGATGATGAGGATGGTATTGATGAAACTCCCAGAGGGAAGCAGCTAACTTTCTTGCAGAAACAGCGGCAGGAGGAGGAGGGGGGATGTTGTTATGATGAAGGCGAGCCTGGGGGTGGTAAAGTTTCCACGAAGGGAGTGGAGTACAGGGCCCCCCTCCTTTCCTATTCCCTACCAATAATACCCTCCTACTCAACTTTTCACACAAATTTTCCTCCTTTTCTGCTACCCCTTCTCCACTTTTTTCTGCCCTTTTCATCTCTCTCTCTCTGTCTTTCCCTTTCTTTCTCCCTAGCCTTCAAAAGGGTTTTATAAAACTACTGTATTCTATTCTTTTTCATCTATTTTCACCCCTTTTTTTCCCTCTTGTGGTCGAGCCTCCAGAGTCCAGAGTGAAATTTTGTTCTTTATTGTGGCTTTTTTTATTCTATTTACTCTTTTTTTTTCTTTTGTTGGGTTCTCCTTCTTGCTTAGAGAGTAGTACTGCGATTGATCCCCCATGGTCAAAATGGTTTATAGGAGGGAATTGGTTGGATTACCTGTCAAGCATTTAGTTGGGTCACCCGCCAAATTATAATTGCATGAATCTGGGCAGCTATAATAGACTTTCAATTACTGTAGTAATTACTGATTGGGTAAGTTCCACACGTGTTTTCTGTCAAAAAACAAAGTCCATCCATTCACCCATTAATCACGGTTTTTTTTAAAATAAAATTAAATAACATCTATATGATTATTAATTTGGAAGGGGATAGCCACAGTGACTTCTATAAACCAAGAAAATGCCAGTTTGTCACAAGTTTTTTTGCCATTGTCAGTGACTTATCATATTTGCATTTACAGCTAGTTGATTTAACTATATTTATATTAAATAATCATAATAATGATAAAACTATTTTAATGTTTTCTCAATCGGCTAGAAATCTAGTTGCGTTTTAATAACAAAAAAAGAAAATAAATAAAGAAATACGTTAAATTCACGAGGAGCGTTATGTGGGGCTAAGGTTTTCTAT